CCCTTCCTGGAAGAATTTTGTCACCTCTGTTGGGTTTCTAAGAAAATTTCTCCTCGTGTCTGTACTTTGTTAAAAACGTTCTGCCAGTGTGGCTCCTGTTATTGAGGTAAAATCACCTCATGTTAGTGTTTTATAACTCAACACTACATACTGTATACAGACATGTTTTCTCAGAGAAGCCAAATCAGTGCTAATCTTTATAAAAAAACACCCCAGTACCTTTTTGTTCTCCTTGGATATACACACCTTACTCACTAAACTAAACACACATTCCTCACCCTGTCCTGGAGATGGTGGGAGGCCACTCAGGTCGACTGCCTGTCCTTTCTCCAGTGCCTCAATGACTGAATCAAACATCTGCACCAAATAATACAAAAAAGAGAGAATAGAAAAAAAAAATCTCAGTGTCAAACATAATGAAGGCCTTTGTCAGCATCCAAATCATCATGCATGTTTCATATGCTTGAGAGAAATCATCGTCATCGGATACGAAGGTATTTTACAGCTAACATTACTAGCAACAGCAGGAAATAGAAAATATTAACTTGTAAAATATATTTAGAGCTTTATATTACCTTCTAATGTCTTTTTGAGCCAACTGAAATCAGTGCTTAATATGAATTTTCAAGAGCTGCAGACAAACCACCACTGACAAACCTCTGCACAGGAAACAGGTTTTTGTTTTAAACAAATCAGTGAGCACTGAGGTCTTTTAACTCACCTTGCTGGTCTTAAAGTAAAGCTTAGCTTGCTCCACATCTCCCTCCTTCTTGGCTCTCAGAGCAGCCATCTTGTATTCTTTCTGCCTCTCCAAAAGCATCGTCTTGGTTTCCTCGTTCGCTGTGGAATCACAGGACGGAGACAAAACTCCCGCAGTCAAAGGCCACATTCATCACATATTCAGAAGCTACTTTTAAAGAAGACTGTCCCCTCCACCTCAGCCATTTAATACGTGTGCCTCTAAGCAAAAGGCTTAAAACCAAAACAATCTGAAAGGCAAACCTCCTTTATTAGGGAGATTAAATTCCTCCAAATGTTACCATTTTATACATTTATACGTGAGAAATATGAAGAAGCAATGAATTCCCATTGCCTGTGACTCAACTCCAGTGTTTCACAGTCTAGTGTAGGCAAAAAATCTTTGAAAATATTGTTAAAGCCACAATTCACTGTTATTTATGTAGAATATTATACTGTCAGTGTTTTCTTATACATTGTATTAATCAGTTATTTGTTTGGTCAATTCAAGTTCTGAAATTAGTTTGGAAAAAATATCCATCACAACATCCTAAAGCTCTGTTGTGGTTTATACCTTTAAAATGAGGCAGTAGAGAGGAACAATGAACGATGATGACAGGTGAACAAGGTTAGTACTTTCTTTGACTGATGCACTGAGATAAAGGAGCAGGGCCTAGGATTGGATTTATGTGGAAAACATGTTTTCTACTTTTAACTGTCTGTCCAAAGCTTACTTTCTCTAGTAACTACTATTATCACTGATATAACTTTGTGTAATCCAAGTCAAACTGACCATCTGTCTGACTGGACTGAAGCAGGTTGGCAGGCTCCTCTGTCTGCTCCTCTGGAGAGGGAAGGCTGCTCAGAGTGGGCGCTGTGGCGGAGGATGGCGTCTCCTCTTCGCTGGTGGGTGTGACAATATCTGGTACAGCTGGCAGTGGTGTTGTAGCCTCCGATGCCCCCTGCTGATCTGGAGGTGTGGGTTCAGGAGGCAACGGTACAGGGGGAGCCGGTCGTGCAGGAACAGCGGGCCGAGGGGCAGAGCTCGGAGCTCCACTGAAAACAGGAGGAGGGATTTCTGCCTCATTCACAGGCCTCCCTTTTTTCACAGCAGCTAACATAGTCTCCAACGTCTGTAGAGAGCAACAAATTTTATAAAACATCTCATGTACAGTGTTTTTAGAATTTGAGAACAGTGTGATCAGACACATGGACACCAAAAGTCTCGTGTTACTACAGGTCTGTAGCTTTTGGACATGTTTAGCACTGCTCACATAATTTACATTCAATCTTGACTCTGGCTGTGCTGTTTTCATCTTGAAAACATTTTTTCTTTGTTATTACACCTGTTTTTTTGAGAACTTCCAATGTAGATTCAGACAGGAAACATAAGGCAGAGGTCTGACATGTAACAGTACTGGTCCAGAACCAAATCAGTAACGTTACATTACGTGTCTCAGACTGTACTGTACGTAATTTAACCCTTGTCATTGTTAAATCACAGAAGACTTCTTGGCACATGATACTATATCACTGTACCTGTTTAAAATATAATCCACACTGGGAATGGTTGAGGAGCATACCACAGTTTGTTTGTTGCATGTCAACATACATCTTCTCATCAGACAGTAGTCTCACCCACCTTCAAACCACGATCGAACCTCCTAGCTTTGGAGGTCTCTCCTGCAGTCCTGGCGTTTTGTAAAGCTGTCTTGTATATGGCTACTCTTTCCTCCAGGGTGTGCTGGAGACTGCCAGGCGCTGCGGAGGACACCTTAACATCCTGCTGCTTCACATGTGCGATATCAAAAAACAACAGGTTGTCAATATTATTTGAAAACATTTGCTAAATCTCTCTTAGGTCAAGATATGACTCAGCATGCAGAACTGTGGGTTCAGGTTTCAAGTATTCGTCAGAGATAAATAACAGGAGGAAAATAACATTAATGGTAATGGTAATTAATGGCCTATCTAATCAGGTGGGATACCGTAACTATCAGGGAATGTGTTTACGGGAATGCACAGACTAACAGCAAGAGTGGTAAATTCAGTATTTCACAGTCTGAAGTGCATCAATTCAATATGCCATCAGGTAAACAACTACAGTTTGGTGATACACTTCTACTCCAAAAGCTAAAAATTGACTGATTTGAACTAAATGTAAAGAAATCTATTAAAAAAAAAAAAAAAAAAAAACTGTTAATTTTGTAAACTGGCAGACAATGTCAGCTTCAAGCCTGGCATGTATTATATACCTGCAGCAGTGGGGACTCTAATGTTTCAGCTTGCGAAGACTCAGCAGCAGCAGAGGATGTGGAGGAAACCGTTAAAGCATCCTCGTCATCACCATCACCCACCACTTCCTGTAGCTCTGCCTGATGGGGGGGGGGATCAACAGATCAACAGATAATGTTGTTTGTTCCTACACAAAGCTAGATTTCAGAGAACAAAGCGTGAAATGTTTTCCATTAGCCAGTTCAGTAAAACAGTTGTCCGACAAATAAAAGTTATGTAAATCAACATCGGCAGAGGAAATTAAGACCAACAAATCAATAAGTCAACAGCAATTTATAATTAAAACACAATATGTGAATGCAAAACGTTGCTGGCAGAGAGTTTTCAGTTACTGTAGTAGACAGAACAAACACGACCACGAGGCTGGTTTTGAGCGAGTAATCAGGTGGACCTCTATTATAGCCATCGTCACACATACACCTGCATCTGTCCAGTTTGATTTAGCGCTGAATAAATGCTGGTTCTGCTCCAACTAGGTTAAGACAAAGATCAATACCTTTTTGCAGTAACATCATCTGTGTAGCTACAAAAATCAACCCATCACCTTAAGAATACAGTAGATCAAGAATTTTTAAAATATTTGCCTCAGCAGGATTTAGAAAAAAAAACAAAAAACTTCTTGCTTTAACCTTTTCCAGGCTTGGCTGCTTTGCAGGTCTTTGGGAAAAGGCCATCAGACATCTGCAGCTGATTCAGAGTGAAGCTGCAAGAGGCATGCCTGATTACTGTGTCCAAGACTTTATCCAAATCATATGTGGACCAAACTCCCAAAAGTTCTGCTCAAACTCTAAAGTTCCTTTCAATAACTGCTTAAAAAGAGCGTTTTCCTTTTGCCACTACCACTATCTACCTTAAAAGGGCTTTTTTATATTGCCTTGTTTTTCTTATGTCTTGTCTTAATGCTGTTTTATGTTTATGTAAAGCATTTTGAGCTGCCTTGTTGAAAGGCGCTGCACCACTGACAGATGGGACCTCTCTTACTGTGATTACTGGTACAGTATCCTTGAACAAACCCATTAAGTAGTAAATTCATCAAAATACGTCATGACATTCTCTATGTCAAAACTTTATGGCATCATACATATGCAGCTGTAAACTTTTAGTAATTAAACCATCGGTTCATAATAATACTACATTTGACACTGCACAATAAAACAGGCAAAAACAAAGTGGATTAATAATGACTGGCTAAAAGGATGGGTCTTAAGATAAGTATACACTTGTATCATATAAAACAGACACAAAAAGTCAGCTGTTTACTACATCTCTATAAATATGGCTACATACTTTATTTTAGAAAAGCAAGTACCATATCTGAGTACCCACCGCTTCATACATATATATGATATCGAGTGTGCGGAGGCAACAAGACCGACAGCAAAAATTCCAACAAGAAAATCAGTTTCCTTTCTGAGGGTAATAAAATTAATATGCTGGATGTCTCCATGTGTTCATAGTGTTAAAATGTGAGTGGCCACTAATCCTGTTATAGGAGAGGAATATAAACACTAACCAACAGATCTTCGTCGTCTTCCACATTATCGTCATTGTCGTCCTCGTCCACATTGTCCTCATCTCTCATACACTCGTCAGCCATTTTTGCGATATCCTCCATTGGCAGGGGACCTGTGACATAAACACCGCTGTTGTGTATGAGTAATAATGACAATGTTATTAACGTCTCCAGTGTCAAACTACCATAACAAATCTCCAAGGATGACAAATGTGCAGGAGGTTTTCGGCAATAAAGACATCAAATATAACAATATAATCAAAAGTATTTGGCTGCAAAGAATGTGTTCACACACTTTTATATTGCCCCTGGGCTGAGTCTAAAAAAAAACCTGCAATTCTATCTTGCAAAGCACTGTTATCTCGAGCTGAGTCTAAAAAAAACCTGTAATTCTATCTTGCAAAGCACTGTTATCTGCAGATTTGAAACTGTTAACTCCTCTGAACCTGACAAAGAGTCAACTTAGCTTGTGACGTGATCGTTTTGTTAAGGAAACAAAGTTTTAAAACAGATAACTGTGCTGCATGCCCTTGAGTGTAACATATGAGCCAGACCCAGTACCTGGCCTCTCTAACGCTCTTGAGGAAAGACTTCCTAGAAGAGAGGAGGCAAAGTAGGTGTAATGTTACAGCCAGATAGTAAACGAAAACCAAATCCGGGATTCTGATGTCTGGATCCAAGGTAACAATGCTCCCTTGACCGAGTGCTGACATACACTGACTGTGTGCACCAGAGCCAGGCCAATGATTCAGCTAATATTAGCTTTTTGCAGATATATCAGTACTGTTGTATACGTCAGCTACTAAATAACAAGAAATTAAAGTATAGAAATTCCAAAGACATGTTTTGAATGTCACTGTTCTATAGTTTGTCCACCAGCGGGTAGTGGCAAGTTTATTCATCGTGTGTAAAATACCCTACCCAGTGCATTTCTTGGTCACAAATGTTGTTCAAAAAACAAATATAAGCCAACCTTATCACAAATGTTAATGTACTGTGCAAATGTAGGACTACAAACACACAGCCAGAGACATAAAGAACAATCTCCAGAGAAGATAGGAAGAACATCATGGAGTGAGTCTGGGATTTCATGAAAAGACAGACGCATCTGAGGCGGTTTAAATCCACAGAACAACTACATCCATCCAACCAACCATTATCTATACTGCTTATTCTGCA